AATTTACGAGATCGAAGCGCGGACCAAGAAAGAAAGGGGTTGCTAAGGTAACGCGCCAGTTCAGTGCGTGACTTGGGGTCAAACTTCGGTCAACACACACTTGGTGTCAGCATCGCCGCGTAGCAAGTTTCGCAACGTACTTGAAGTTCAATTGTGCCCCAAAATGATGTCGACGATCACTCAATTGTCGCAGCGCATGTTGTACCAAGTCCATGATACACCCAGTTTCGACTTTGGCTTGCTTTTCCTTCTTAGTGCATGTTCATGTTCACGTAAATGCGACCTCTCACTAATGTATTAAAACACTTTGATGTTATACTTATGCGTGATTATATTTGGTCTACGCAAAACATTAATCTTTCTAAACATTTTCTGAGACCATGCATGATATATATTCACAAAATAATGCGATCATATTATACATTATGTTGATCTCTATGTCTTTCTGGATCGTTTTGTGATTTTATTCCAAGGCTCAGGCAAATAAAATAATGTCAACTATTATAGACTAGTTTCCCAGCTTTTTGCTCAGCCAAATTGGTTCAATTTTTCATTAAAACTTTGTGATCCTTTTAATTTCCTAGTTCTTTGTGTTCATTAATGGTCTTGACAATAAGTGTGAATTGCTGTGCGAGCCCACCGCGGAAGACCGCGGTCAGCCGGCGTCATGGAATCTATGCACAAATTTGCATAAAATGCGGTCGACCGGCGAGCACCCACCACCGCGGTAATGACCGCGGTGCACCGCCCGTTTGATTTCCTACTCTCCCCTTAGTAAAATCAACAAAGTGACCCACCATCTTTAACTTCAACCGAATCTTGTTTTTTTGGTCTCCTTCTTCCCGGCTTTGGAGCTCGTCTGATTGGCTCAGCGCCATCTTCTCTACTTGGAATAATTAAGCCCTGTTCTCTGAGAAGAGCTAGTGTAGCCTCGGCTCGAGCTTTGTCTTTTTTCTGTTTTTCAGTTAAGAATTTCCCTTCAGCTTTAAGTCTGGCTTTCTTATCCTGTTAAATAGATATTGAAAAGATTTACCCACAATCCAATGTGTGTGATGAAAAATCCATCATTTGTAAATACAATGGTTGTTCCAATCTGTGATCCATTTTATTGCTCACTGAAAAATATATTAACCTTTTTCTTTTGTTTTTCCCTTTCTTTTTTTTCTTGTTCCAGTCTTAGTTTTTCTTCCCTTAACCTTTCGGCTTCTTCCTCAGCTTTGATTCTTGCCTCTTCTTCAGCTTTCAACCGCTCTTCCTCTTCCTTCATGCGCTTCAATGCATCCTGCATTGCTTTGATTTGCCCTGTAACATGAATTATATTATCGCAAGATTGAGTGACAGTCCTAAGTAAAAGTGTTGAATTAATGGATGTTAGCCAATAACATTTGTCCTTTTGTAAATTCACAGACTTCCACTATGTATGATTTGTAAAAAACAAGTCATTGAAAATGACACAGTCCCCGTTAAGTTCTCTTTGTGCTTGTCATATTAAAGCGGAGGGGTTGTCGCAAGCGTGTCCTTGAAACTTGAGTTCCAAGTGGCGTATACAACAGATTGTTTATTTACATGAAAACACGTGTTTCGTGTCATAGTAATATGGCCAAAATAAAAACAGCCGTTATTCAGCCATCTTTGATCTGATTATGAAACACACTGATGTATGTGCCAAATACGAATGAAAATGGTACATAAATTGTGGAAATATAGTAGTAAGGCCAAAAAGTCAGATGGCTGTCAAACGGCCATCCTTGACCAGATTTTGAAACAAATTGTCATGGACATGCATCCTAACATGTATAAAGTACATGTATGTGCCAAATTTGAATGAAAACTGACAGAGCACATCCAAGATACCGCATAAAAAAACAAAAACAAGATGCCTGCCAGTCGACCATCTTTGATCCAATTGCAAAATATATTGTCATGGACATGTATCCTAATGTGTATAATCTATGTACCAAGTTTGAATGACAACTGACAAAGCATGTCCAAAATACAACATTTTCAAAAAACAAGATGGCTGCCAGTCGGCCATTTTGAATCGAATCGCTAAATCACTGCATGTGCATATGTCCCACATAAGGTACTAGGCACATGCAAAGAATGAACGGAATCGGTCCACAGGATTCTGAAATATGACGTTGGATAGACTGACGCACAGACAGACGGACACACGGACGGGCGGACGGACTTCCTCAGGAACTCATGGACGGTCGGGGACATGTATCCTAACATGTATGATCTATGTACTAAATTTGAATGAAAACTGACAAAGCATGTTCAAAATACGACATTTTCAAAAACAAGATGGCTGCCAGTCGGCCATCTTTGATCCAATTGTAAAATAAATCATCATGGACATGTATCCTAACATGTATAATCTATGTACCAAGTTTGAATGAAAACTGACAAAGCATGTCCAAAATACAACATTTTCAAAAAACAAGATGGCTGCCAGTCAGCCATTTTAAATCAAATCGCTAAACCACTGCATGTGCATATGTCCCACATAAAGTACTAGGCACATGCAAAGAATGAACGCAATCGGTCCAAGGGATTCTGAGATATGACTCCGGACGGACGCACAGGCGCACGGACGTACGGAGACCGAATTATAAGTCCCCATTTTCGGACTTCGTCCGAACGGGGACTAAAAAAAACTCTCAATGACTCCAGAAAGCATCATAATATTGGCAGTTTGTATAATTCATGAGAATCCTATCCAACAGGATCATGTAATTGAATTTAGAAGTCCTCCTACAATACATGCAAATTGCCTCAAGTGATCACAAAAATGAAAATGATGTTGGATTTGGCATTTAGACACTCCAATGTTTTAGGACTAATTTTATAATTTTTAATTGCAATCACAATAATCAGTGGTAGGTGTTCTGTAACAAATACAAAGTGAGACAGTTAACACAATTATTTCAACACAATTATTTTAAAGAAATGATAACCATTTTTTAAAATAATTATACATCAATAAAATGTATTGCTTAATATGAATTGTATTTTATAGTAGTGTACAATTTGATATCTTCTCCTTACTGGTTATGTAAGTGTTACTGCTTAGATTTCTTATTTACCTTTCCCAGGTTTCTTCTTTGTTTTCTCCTCCTCAGCTTTGTCTTTCTTCTTTTTTTTCTTCTTATCTTTTTTCGTTTTATCATCAGCTTTATCATCTGCATCCCCTTCTGGGGCTTCACCTTTGACCTCAGCTGACAAGTCAAACATATTAGAACAGAAACTCATTACTGATGACAACTGGTTTTGGTTAATACATAGACTACTAAAAGCCTTCAAAGATAGCTGATAGTACGTAATGATGACAAAAATCAATTAGTTAATACATCAGATCAAAATTACTACGTAACCTCACATGAGGTATACATGTACTAGATGGTTCGCTTAGTGTCCACAAAATATCTGGAACTCTTTTGAATTATTCTGGATGTATCACTCCACTATTTTCCTTGCCCGGGAAATACATCACTTCCTTCTCATAGCTCCAAATCGGATATGACGCACCGAGTCTCGAGGACACAACAATAACCTAATTTATTGATTGTTTAATAAAATCTGTAGTAGCATTACTGCTGAAATATCAGTGTGAAATCTGAAAGTACAACCATGGAAGAGTCATAATACTGTCTGTCTGTCTGTCCGTCCGTCCTTCCGTCTGCATACAGTGCAGTACATTCACAATAATCTCATAGTATTAAATCATGTGATACATACCATCAGGTGTAGAGTCTTCCTTTTTTACTTCAGTTTGTGGCTTTGGTTTTGCTACGAAGACAATACAATGTCTGATTACTAAACTATATGTGATATTACATGACTAATTTTGTCTTGTATGTAACCATGGTTAATCATTCATCCTGCTCAACACTTCTGTACTGCAGTAATTTGTTCACATTATTTTTAATTTCATTAGCATTAATGTAAATTTTGAAATAAACAACAATATTGAATGCTGAATTCTTGGTGGTGGTAGTTGGGTGAGGATGGGGTGGAGTGGGGTGGGGTGGGTGCTTGGTGGGTGTGGGAAATTGGGGGATTGGGTGTTTATTTACCTCATTAATACAATTTATTACGGGATGTATATACACGAGCAATGAAAGTGTTATAGTTGCTGCAAACCAGGTGCAGACCCCTCTAAATCTGCCCTGAACAAACAAACAAACAAACTGACAGCACAAAACTGTATCATTACCTCCTGGTTCTGGTTTAAAAGATTACCAATTGGGGGGGGGGGGGGGAGTACACTGAGGAGGAAACTAGAAGAAAGAGACTACTGGACTATTTTGTGACAGAAGATTGATGTTGGCAGTAAATGGGTCGCAGGACAAACTTATTGTATATATGGAATGACTTGGACACAATGTTGATGTGTTTCTCATCAAATACTTGATAAACATATAACAAGACATAATTTCATAAATTATTGTGTCTGTCACCTGGCTTCCTTCTTGAAATAGTTGTGTGCGAAAGTGTTGGCATTTTGCTATTGAAATATCTAAGTCAAACATACATTGGTAGCAATGTGCCTAGGAATAATGTTACAAGTGAGGTAACAGTGGACCTGATCTCACTCTTTCAGCACCCACTGTAATTACTTACAATCTTCACTGATCTCACTCCTTCAGCCCCCACTGTAATTACTTACACTCTTCACTGATCTCACTCTTTCAGCCCCCACTGTAATTACTTACACTCTTCACTGATCTCACTCGTTCAGTCCCCACTGTAATTACTTACAATCTTCACTGATCTCACTCTTTCAGCCCCCACTGTAATTACTTACACTCTTCACTGATCTCACTCTTTCAGCCCCCACTGTAATTACTTACACTCTTCACTGATCTCACTCGTTCAGCCCCAATCTGATTAAAATCTGATGTAGTGTACGGGCTTTAATTATTTTGGCTATAAACTTATTTTAATTTTATTTTTTATTACTTTTGTTATTAATGCCTTTTAATTTTATTATTTTACTTTGATTTTGATTTTGTGATTTTTTTTTAATTCTGCCCTACCTACATCTGAGCCGATGCCTATGTAACGAGATTTCAACGAGACCCACTATCGACGATTTTAGTCAACGAATCACAGACCTCCTTCTATAGTGCACATGATGACGTCACCGGGCGGAGTCGGGTGGCAAACACTCAAATAAAATGGCGGATTATACCGACGTTAGCGACCGAGAATAACACGGCTTTACGGTAAGTTTATCATTGTCAAATGCAACGAAAGTCATTTTTATGTTAATATTGTGGCTCGAATGGTTCGACTTTAGATCGTTATTTTGCATAGTTATTCTGGGAGTGACGATTTTGTTTCCACCGTTTCGACCGAACACCGTGTCTTTTTCCAGTCGCCTGCCCTGGAGACGGGTGATGTTTTGTTGACGATCGGGCCAACATCGTCTACGGTATTGAAGCCGTAGCTGTAAATATTCATCAAATTGTATCAAAATTTTGCACATTATACACTAACTCTTTATTAAAGTAATTGAGCTGATTTGGACTGGAATATAATATTTTTTATTTGGAACACATCGCAATTGATCAGGAAATATTTGTTTGCTCCAATTTTCTGCGTCGATGCCGTGGGCCGGTGACCGTTATACAATTTAAAATCAGTTTGCATTGTTTACTATTATAGCTGTTTACAGTGTTCTAATCATTACGATTTACTTTTTTTTTTGCTTCCATTCTAGATAATTATGCTCAGTGATGTAAAATTGAAGCGATGACTGAATGAACGAACCTTGGCTGGCGAAGATGTATCTGGAAGTGTACACATTTGTTGGAAGTGAAAAAAATATTCAATGTAATGACAAAAATTGTAAAATGCTGAGGAATTTCTTTTGCAATAAAAATATACTAGCAATTTTCTATTAATGGTTTATTCAAGTGGGCAAAATATAATGTACAGAAAGATTGCCCGTAGAGTATCGCTACACTGAAACAACCGACAGCCTGTATAAAAGGGGGGCTGTGATTGGCTGTTACTTACGCGAGATTTGAACGGGACTTACATAGGCGTCGGATCAGATGTAGGTAGGGCGGAATTAAAAAAAATCACAAAATCAAAATCAAAGTAAAATAATAAAATAAAAGGGCATTAATAACAAAAGTAATAAAAAATAAAATTAAAATAAGTTTATAGCCAAAATAATTAAAGCCCGTACACTACATCAGATTTTAATCAGATTGTTTCAGCCCCCACTGTAATTACTTACAATCTTCAGTTTTGTTTTTTTCTTGTTCCTTTTCTTCTCTTTTTTGTGCTGCCTGAGCTTTTGCTTCTTCCTTCTCCTTTCTGGCCTTTGCCTCTGCCCTTTTCCGTTCTTTTTCTCTTTCTTTTTTCTCGGCTTTCTTTTGAGCGGCAGTTTTAACTTTTGGGCCTTCGTCTTCATTGTCACTGACATCATCATCAGCAACAGGTTCTTTCTGTGATAATGGAATTGATAATCAATATACATCCACCTGACCCGCAGCTTAAAATTCTGAAGTTAGCCACAGATTCATTTTTGGATTAGAATTCACTTTCAGGTTTGGGTTTGAGTTATGGATTTCCCTCATTATATTTTTCATAAATTTCAAAACCAATATAAACCATGCCACTGTGGCAAAATGAATCCAAATACAACTTTAGCAATTCAATAATTACTTTCACCGAAGAAATTATGAGTGAACAAGTGACAACACATAACTCATACAATGTTATAGATGACTAATGTATTTGGAAAAACAGTGACAAAATTATGCTGGGTGCTGTGGTACAAATCCTTCAACTCTTAATGCTATTATTGATACTAAAGAAAAATGTGAACTATGCTGTATAATGTGAACTATGCTGTATAATGTGAACTATGCTGTATAATGTGAACTATGCTGTATAATGTGAACTATGCTGTATAATGTGAACTATGCTGTATAATGTGAACTATGCTGTATAATGTGAACTATGCTGTATAATGTGAACTATGCTGTATAATGTGAACTATGCTGTATAATGTGAACTATGCTGTATAATGTGAACTATGCTGTATAATGTGAACTATGCTGTATAATGTGAACTATGCTGTATAATGTGAACTATGCTGTATAATGTGAACTATGCTGTATAATGTGAACTATGCTGTATAATGTGAACTATGCTGTATAATGTGAACTATGCTGTATAATGTGAACTATGCTGTATAATGTGAACTATGCTGTATAATGTGAACTATGCTGTATAATGTGAACTATGCTGTATAATGTGAACTATGCTGTATAATGTGAACTATGCTGTATAATGTGAACTATGCTGTATAATGTGAACTATACTGTATAATGTGAACTATGCTGTATAATGTGCTAGCAATTCAGAAGATTGCCCAGAAACTCTGTCAATGATCAGAAATCGGTCAGCTGTACTATTTTTTATCACCCTAACATTTTCAAAAAGTGACCTAAAAATGTTATAATAAAAAATAAATAAAATGTAACTTTATGTATACAATTTGACAGTTTTATATGAGCCTCATTTTGAATTTTAGTACTTGTTAATTCCAATCAATTATCTATATTATTTATCTTCCATCACAGAGAAAATAGTTTAGTTAACTTTATTAATCAACAAGTCACTGATAAAGACACAGTCTCTGTTAAATTTTTGAAAGTTTCCCTGACATGCCTTCTCAATGTCTTTACCAATGCTGTCTGGGATCCTGTTGAATTAACAAGCATTATTATGCAAATGGCAACCAGTTGAAAATGTTTTGCTGTTTTTATAAAGAATCTTCCCCAAAACAAAGTTGACCAGTCATTAACACAGTTCCCATTAAATTTTTGAAAGTTCTCTTTGTGCTCGTAATATTAAAGCGAAGAGGTTGTCGTGAGTGTGTCATTGAAACTTGAGTCCCAAGTGGCAAATACAACACATTGTTTATTTACATCAAATTCGAACACTTGCTATGTGATGACCCCTCCGGTTTAAGACATAGCAAAAAAAAACATAGATCACAAGTGAAAGCATGTCCAAGTTATCACATTTTAAACAAACAAGATGGCCGCCAGTTGGCTATATTGGATGAAATTGCAAATTTAATTGACATGTACATGTATCCATTTACGACATGCTAAATATCAATGAAAATGACAGCGATATAGTAATATGGCCAAAAAATAAAAACAGCGGTTAATCAGTTATCTTTGATCTGATTATGAAACAAAATGACATGTATGATGTATGTGCCAAATATGAATGAAAATGGTACATAAATCTTGGAAATATAGTAGTAAGGCCAAAAGGTCAGATGGCTGTCAATCGGCCATCCTTGATCCGATTTTGAAACAAATTGTCATGGACATGTATCCTGTGTTTCAAAAAAACAAAATGGCTGCCAGTCGGCCATTATGAATCAAATGGCCCTAACGGCTGCATGTGCATATGTCCCACATAAAGTACTAGGCACATGCAAAAATGAATGGAATCGGTCTGAAGGATTCTGAAATATGACTCTGGACGAACAGACAGACGGATGGACGCACAGATGGTCGGAGGACATGTATTCTAGCATGTATAATCTATGTACCAAATTTGAATGAAAACTGACAAAATGTGTCCAAAATACAACATTTTCAACAAAAAAATGGCTGCCAGACGACCATTTTGAATCGAATCGCTAAACCAATGCATATGTCCAAAATAAAGTACTAGGCACATGCAAAGAATGAACAAAATCAGTCCAAAGGATTCTGAAATATGACTCAGAACGGACGGACACACAGACGGACGGACGGAGACCGAATTATAAGTCTCCGTTTTCAGACTTCGTCTGAACGGGGACGAATAAAATAATAACATGAATACCCATAATATTTTTTTAGAAATAGCAGTGTGGGAAATTTGTCCAGATTACATACCAGATGTCAGGGCTGGAAACTTTCAAAAGTTACAAGCCCTGCTAAAACAAATCTCGCACATTTTTACAATTATTTTTGCACACACACAAATAAACACAACAAGTATACAATATACTATGCACGGTTTATTTTAACAACAAAGTAGCTGTAAAGAACATGTATATTCAGAACATGGTGTACCTCAGACGTCTGTGTCACTGTTGCCTTCTTTGCGTCGAATATCGATTTGGCTTGTTTATGACCAATTGACATTTCATGGCATGTGAGGACATCATGTCTTAAGTTGATACATCCGGTTACAAACAATTCCTTTCTGTACTTACGGAGTTTGTCTGGTATTTTGCGGTTTGATAATGGCCCGTAAATAGCCGGCAGATACGGCAATATATCGTATGATTGCCGGTGTCATCGGTGACCAGCTATTCCTTGAACTCGGTCTTTGAACGTTTTTACGTGTACGTTTTGAATGGTCATACTCCTTATTTGCCGCAATTCAATCGATGCTTGACTTCTGTTTCTTTGTTGGAGGGTCTATCCCCAAAAAACGATGCATGTTGTACACGAAACGAGAACTTTGTAAACAAACTGCGCAACGATAGAACTGGTCAGGGGTTGCCGGAAGTCTCACTGCACCATGGATAGGACCTGACCCGAGGTCAAGTACCTATTTTTATGTTAATAAGTCAATGGATTTCCTGTTGTGGGTTGAGAATGTGCGTTGGTCAGTCGCGATGTGAGACAGCAATTAAATATTTTCATTGTTTTGGCTGATCATGTTTTTACTTAAAATGTTTAGAGCATATATAAAGAATGGTAGCTTGTTTTTATTTTAATTTTGGCGGAAGAATGTAGTCAAATGTAGTCAAATGTAGTCAACTATCGGACAGGGAAGTCTGAAAGTTACCCGTCTCGGGCATTAGGACGGGCAGGAATTTCCTACACTGGAAATAGGTGAAGCATTTTATAAAAAAACAAACAAACATACCTTCTGAGACTTTTTGTCTTGTTTTTCATTTTCTTGTTTTTCTACTTCAGTGCTCTCTTTCATTTCAACATCATTCTCTTCATCTTCGTCTTGTTGTTTTCCTTTCTTCTTTGCTTTCTGGAAATGTACATGTAGTTAATATCATTGAATAAACTTGACACCTAGTGACCTCAAAGGGAAAGAACTAAAATAATGTAATTCAACTCTAACCGTAAGACCAACAAAATGCCCCTTTCATTTTTTGGTCACGACCATTGATTGAGAACAGTATAAATTTGGTGAAATTCTTTCGAGTTCAACAAATTTAGTGTTCTTTAGCTGCAAAGGCATCGTAAAAATGAAGGTGTCATAATCATCAATTGTACAAGTGGAAATATGTGAGCCACTCTGTATATTATGTCAAAGTCCACTTCAGGCACTGTTTTCCTCAGAAAATATTGACAAAAACTAGAAGCAATGTCAGATTTTGTCTGTTCTGTCCGAATTCCAGATTGAATTATTAATTCAATTAAAGTGAAAATTACAGAAAATGTCAACAAGTTCTGAGCAGGAAAATAGAAGTTCAAAGTCATTGAAATTTGCCATGAATTGCGTCAAGATTATTGTTTGGTACTTGTGTTCAAGTTTTCCCATGATGCAAAGTGCAGACAGAGTGAAAAGGTTCGTTTTTGAGAATCAAACATTTTTTTTAAAATAAAGAATGATGGTTGGTGTGTCCTGCTTAATCTAGGTCACATGTAAAAACCCTCAAATAAGAGCCACTTTGTAACACTTTCATTTCTGGGTGGTGCTTATTTGAGGTAACATTTTGACAACTTTGTAGCCAGTGGCTCTTAAACCAGGGTGATCAAATTTTTCATTGTGAAATGGGGAAGGGATAGGCAAACACACACACAACCAAACAGACAAATAATTATTAATGATGTATCATTGCAATTAATTTATTCTATAAAA